CTGCTGCCATGGGCCTAGCCTTGGTTTTTATCAACCATTTGGCCAGTCATCACACATCTATGTTCTGGTAAAGAAAACTCAGAAAAATTACACATTGTTTTTTTAAGTGCTCTAAGGAAGGCTAACGGTGTGTTCACACCGAACGCGATGGACGCGAATAAAACGCCCCAAATGCCCCTAATTTGACGCGTGTACATTCGCGTCTCAACGCGTGTCCAAGAAAAATCCATCGCGCGTCAAAATATGATATTTTGACGCGCGTGAACCGGAAATGTGGGAGGAATGTGGGAGGGAGTTGTGCCAGACCGGTATCTTTGCAAGATGGCAGCTATCGAGCTAGCGCTTGAAGAGAGAGTCTCCCTTCTCTATGTACTGTGGAGAGCAGAGCAGCAGCGTAAAAGACGTCCTCGCCGTACCTGGGTCCATCAGGTCCTCCAGAGGCATGAGCAGTTTGGTGAGTTTCACCACTTGCTCCAGGAGCTGCGCCTGGATGACGGCCGATTCCAGCGCTATCACCGTCGGCCAGTTTGAGGACCTGCTTTCCCTCGTCGGTCCCAGCATCGCCCGCCTAGACACCAACTACAGACGCTCAATCCCACCTGCAGAGCGCCTGTCCGTCTGCCTGAGGTTAGTAAAACTATTTAATACGGTAGTCCTTTATTGATATCTGTGCTAATATGCTAATCCATCCAGTTATACACTGCTAACATGGATGTGCTATGCTAACAGTGAATGCTGTCGGTGTTTACTGAAAGCAAACTGTGGTACAGAGACGACTCTTTATAATATTTCTAGTGATACTCAGAAGGTCTCATCAAGTCCCGATTTAATTCGATTTATGCTGTTATCAGTGTTTGAATGATAGCATGGCTGTGGTGTCACATCAATGTATGCGCTCGGTGTTTGCTGATATCAAACTGTAGCATTAGGACCACTGAGTTAACCTTTGTAGTGATACTCACTCCTTTTTATTTAGACCTGGTTTAATTCTGGGATAGTTGAATGTTTGTATATAATCCCTGCAGCTGTCAGACTCTATAGCAGGGGTCACAGCCTTTATTAAAACAGAGTTAGATAAAACTGTGAACAGTTTGGTTCATCTCTAGTTACATGGTTCTATCTTGATAAGCTGTCTTATCACAGATTAATTTTTCAAAAATATTAATGATTTAAGCAAGGAAAGGGCTACATGTCAACATACAACTCTTTATTTCTATTAATGTCTTACTTCATTCCTACCTGATTGACATGTTTAGGAATTATGAGTGATTGGCTCACTGTAGTTGTGAAAGTTGCTACCAATCAAATTATGATATGTTAAAGTTAAAATAAAACACAACTGTTTTAGATATTATCTAATATACATTTTGTAATTATCCTTATAATTACAAAATGTTTTATGTAAGATTTAAGTTTTGTGATTTATATCTGACATCACAAAAGTATTTTGGAATTTGAATAATGTATTTTGTAACTGCAGTACACATAATACTGATTTTGAACAATTTTGTCCAGGTTCCTTGTCACCGGGGACTCCTTCAGGACCATCGCGTTCAGTTTCAGAGTCGGTGTGTCCACGGTGAGCCAGATCACCCCCCAGGCAGCGACGTCCATCTGGGACTGTCTAGTGGACGACTTCATGGCTGTGCCTTCACCTGGAGACTGGCGGTCCATCACAGAGGGATTCCAGGAGCGCTGGAACTTTCCTCTGTGCTGTGCAGCTCTGGATGGGAAGCACATCCAGACAAAGGCACCCCATATATCATATAGGAGACACACACATTGATATACACTAAATATTCATTTCATTTCTTTTTTGTGGTGCCCAAATTGATGCACCTGCTTGATTTTGTTTAAACAATTATTGCACACTTTCTGTAAATCCAGTAAACTTCTTTTCACTTCTCAAATATCACTGTGTGTGTCTCCTGTATGATATTTAACTGACATTTTTTATTGTAACAACCAACGATTTATACAGGAAAATAATGTCTATTAACAAGGTTGCCCAAACTTCTGCATCCCACTGTATCAGTATATTTTGTCATTAGTATAATATGAAATAAATTCTACATGTGTCAAGTTGTGTGCCAACATTTGCTGTGTAGTAGAACTGAGACATTAGTCATTATAAACATTTATTTGAAATAATATTAAAAGTCTCAAACAGAAAAACATTAAACATAAATATATAAAATATAAGAATTTACAGAGAGACAGGAATAAAAAGGACCAGCTGCTCTCCAGAGCAGGAACAAGGCTGAGGAGGAAATGCTCCATTGGAGACTGGTGTGGCCTCTTCAGGGACTCCAGGATGGCCAGCTCCACCGCCGATGGACCGTCCTGGGACCCGTCCCTCATCTGCCTCGGAGCCGTCCTCCTCTGTGGGCCTGTAAAACAGCACAAAACACAAAGAAATGAGAAGGCTGCTACTAGATTTTAATTTCAACATTGAAAAAAACAAAAAAACAATAACAGGATATAATCAGATTGGTTGTAGATATTTAGTAAAGGTGATCACAAGGGAATCCCACCGACTAAAAAGGTATCAGTGCTTGCTGTACATATCTGTGGGTGCAGCAGCAGGAGCTCAGGGACTGGGGATGCTCTGCTGCAGAATCAGTTGGTTCTATCAATACAGTATTAAATGTTAACAGGTTGGATATAATAATCGTAGAGTAGACAGTGGTCCCTCATTTATTGCAGGGGTTCTCAGAATAACTAGCCCCTGGTCACAGTTCTCACAATTGATTCTCAAAGTGCAAACCTTTGTAGATTGCAAAACGTAAAAGTATTATTATGCCGCGGTTTGTCTTCATCTGCCCGCCACTTTCGTGCGCCTTTTTCCCTCACGGTGCAGGTGTCTATTTCCGAATGAGGCTCATAGTTATGGGTGTTTTTGTGCTGTTTTTTCTATTGGACGCGATGGTTATCAAAACCAAACGTGATAAATTTGGCAAGCGCAGGAGATTTGTCAATCAGGCTGCAGAATGCAATGCTGTACTCTGCAATAAAAAATCAGCGAAAAAGCAAAGCAGTGACGGATGAACAGCGGGACCACTGTGTGCTGTTTATTAATAAACAATAAAATATATTCCTAAATGACAACATGCATAAAAGCAGAACGGTATTTGTACGTCAGTGGGAAAATAGCGGTGGCTTGCTAGCTTTTGTGCGGCTTCCCCGGGTCAGTGAAAACTTTCAAAAGAGAAATGAATGAACTTACCAGGTTGCCCGATCTCTTCACATATCTTCCTCCAAGCTCGGTCCTTTTTATTCCTGTCTCGGTACTGAAAGCAGCTGGTGTTGTACAGCTCCGAGTTGTTTGCTACCGCATTGATTAGCCTTCCCCTCCATTGAAGTATGAAAGGCTTTGGCTGGATCTGCCCCTTTGACCTAGGTAACAGCCACGTCACCAGGCTCCTGATTGGTTGTCGCGGCGCGATTTGACGCTGGAGTTCAGATTTTTCCAACTCGAGCGGTAGACGCGAAACGCGCGTATGCACAAAATGCAACACAAAAACTCACGCGCGTGGTTTTATTCGCGAGTCAAACGCGCCAGACGCGCTACACTGACGCGCGTTTCACGCGTTTTGGCGTTTTTGCGACGTAAATCTGCTTCCGAATTTTCGCGGGACCCGCAATCGCGCGTCATCGCGCCTTTCCATTGACTTTACATGTAAACCTGACGCTCTATTCGCGTCCATCGCGTTCGGTGTGAACACACCGTAAGTTCATGTGCTACATTCTTGTTCCCTCAGGAGCAACAGAAAGCATCTGGCATGAGCAGGGTGACCCGGTGTCCTATTGTATTGCACATTTTGTTTTTCTCTCTTGGCTCTAGTTTAATTTGCTCCTGTTTGCAAAGTCAACATGTGAGTCACAAGGCACCTTTGGCTCAAAACACTGCCAATCTGTGGAAGAGCAGTTAACTGTTTTTACAGTTATTGGGACATAAAAGGGGAGAGAGTGGTGTAAGAATACAAGAAAAACAAAAAACAGCTGCATCAATACTTTGGGACCATGCGCAGCTTTAGCTCAAGCCGCATCTTGTCCTTCACAAATGTATTCTTTGTGCCACATTAGTTTGTAGAAATCGGCTTCCCAGGACCGTTTTGAAGGTTAGGTTTTTGTGCAGATCCCAATGGACCCTATAAAGAAATACTCGCCACAGCCACAATCTTTTCACCCTGCTGCCGTCCGCAACAACAGAACAAACCGCTACTAAAACTCCAGTGAGATTATGTGAGATTATTAAACTCTGTGTCCAGACTTTATGGCAAGAATGACATGCTAAACTTTTGAAATTTTCATTTCAAAAGTTTACCTACAGTTTTGTTGTCATGGTGCAGTTGAATTATTTTTTATCTTGACTTTTTTGATTGTTTAACAGGTGCAGCAGTAAGTTGACACTGAGATCGTGACATCGTTTGACAATTGAGCATTTAAAAACAAAAGTTAACCCGTGACTCGCAGCGGTTTCTAGTGGTTGCCTGGGACCTCTCTGTGTTTCATTTGCATGTTCGCCCTGTACTTGCCTAACTTTATAAGTAAAAAAAACCCAACTTATTAAAAGTGCATCATGGGTTATCATAATAGAACCAGCAAAATGTTCATTCAGCTTATTTTTCACTTCATATTTTTGCCCTGCTAGTCTAGGTCTCAGCTAAAGAGGCTCTGTGTTTGAGGATATACTACTGAGTTAACTGGTGATCCTAACTTGGCTGCAGGTGTGAATGAGTATGACTAGTTGGTGACAGACTGGCAACCTGTCCAGGGTGTTCTCTGATCCTATGACAGCTGGGAGCTCCAGCCCTCTGCCATCCAAAGTTGCATAAACAACTAATAAAACAGAATGGAGAAAAAAAAGAGTTTTAATAATTTATCCCGTGTTTCAAGTTGCCAACTAGTGCAATGACTGAAAAAAATCATTTCATATTCCAGGAATGATGAATTTGTGCAACATGTCACGTCAATTCTCAGGTAAAACTTTATTTTTATTGCATATTTTGTCTCCATTTGTATATGATTATTCATTTCAAGTCTTTTTGGTTTATTAAATTTTGAAAACTTTGGGTTTCAAAGACTCACAGCATTAATTGCAGTATACGGCTGTGTAAATGGACCAGGCAGGGTAAACTATATAAAGGTATTCAAAGAGGAATGCATCACACTTCAGAAGTTATACATTAGAAAACAAACATATATACAAGGGTCCCTATTACACTTCCACAGCAGGATTTGAGGCAATTCCTAAAAAGAGGAAGTCCATTTCTCAGGTGCTTCAAGATGAGATAAGAAGAGTTTCCTGTTCAGACAAAGCCAGTGCAGCTGTAGACGCTTTTACCGAAGAGCCATCAGTTGGAATGCTTTGATTTGAGCTCAAGATATTTGGAAATCACAATAGGGAAACATAAACAGGCAGATCATGCAAATAATAAGGCAGTTCATGTACTGTTTTTCTGTTTTGCTTTGTCTTTGTTTTTTTATTCTGTTCTCTTTTTAATTTTGCAGCAGGAAAAAGCCTCAACAGCTACACTGTTTTTGTCTCTTCCTGGCTGGCTTTGCACAGATAAGACTGCAGCAGCTGCCAGCTGTTACTTCAGTGTTGGCAGTCAGGTGTGTACCATCGGGGTAATTCAGTGCACATGTTCCATGTCACCTTTTCGTCTCAGGAATTAGGTGTTCAGGTGCATGGTGACACAATTTGTCTTTGTAATTTTCCGAGTTCCCATCTCATCATCCTCTGTCTTCTCCTCCCACTTTGCTTGCAGTCTCATACTGGGTGAACAAACTGGTAGACCAGTCTCTGAGACACGTCGGGCTTGCGGATGATGCCTTTCTTGTAGTACTGACGTATGGAACGGCTCAGCTTGTCGTAGTTCATTGCAGGTCGATTCTTTCGTTGTCCCCACAGTCTCGCCACGTGAGCAGAGTCTTCGATTTTGAAAATACCTGGTGGGAATCAAAAGCAGTTATTACCACACAACACAACACGTGCAAAACAGTGGATGATTACACTTTATGTGCACACATAAAAAGTCCGCCACTTGGACTCATATTTCATTTGGCATGCTTTTTGCCTTTCAGGCATTAACAAACCCAATAAGCGAAACCCTGACATACATCCGGCATTCATTCCATTGCGGTTTCACTTTAAATACGTTTTAACGGTGTATTCTTATTGTGTGTGGCTGATTTTTATTGTGTAGTGTTTGTACCAATTTGTACCATTGCACTACAGGGTGTGAAAAAAAGGAGGGAGGCGCGCACACTCTTAGGTTCTGATTTAAATCTGCCTTAAAATAAGAACAGTGAATGAAATAACTATATTTGTTCTATTTACTAATTTTGCATACACATGGCCCCTTTATATAGTGTTGTCCTACAATTATTACTTTTAAATTGTAATAATGCAAATTTATTGAAAAACTTTACTCTCATTCAAAATTTCCTGTTTGTTTTTTGATTTTTTAAAATTAATGTGTCATGATTTTGGAGCTTCAAAGCAGTATGATGAGCCCATAAAACAGTAGATGAACTAATAAGAGATAAAAGCAGTTGCGACAAAAATTGAAATGTAAAAAAAATACATTTTGTTTTAAGCTGAAGAATAAAAGAAGAAATCACTTAAATTGTAATAGCACAATGTCATACACATTCTTCTGCTTTTATTTAAAAACACCAGGTAAATTAAGTTTTATTCATGTGCTCAAGGACTAAATAGAGCAAATAAAGAATAACTGAAATGAAAATGAAAGTACCCTTTTCTTTATTGAGCCAGCGAATGCAACGTCCATAGTTGTGGGGTTTGAGCAGGAGCTCTCTGAGAAACTGCCACAGATGAATAGGTTGACCTGAGCAAGATGAATCTGCCTCAGACCAAAGCTCCTCACTGCCTGCACAGCAAAACAAAACCATTCAGTCCTTAGGGTCATTGTGCATTGTTTCAATGAAAAAGCTCTGTACCGTGAGGGACCAAAAGATCAAGGAGCCCTTTAATCAGGACACTGAAAATACACAATGCAAAAGCTTGATTTTTCACTGAAATTCTGCAGCATATAGTTATTGGCATCTATGTAAAATACAGTGTTAAAATTATACTGTGCGTTGGATTTTTTGTGTGAATGCAACTTGCATGACAGCTAATGCAAACATAAGAATCTTACCTGTAGTTTTAGTGTCTCCAATGGAAAACCGCTCTTTCATCCATGCAGCTGGAAAGTAAACAGATGCAGAAGTTCAAGCTAAGAAAAGGCTAGAACTTCAAATAATCCCACCCAAACACACATGAACGCAGTAATAAAATTTGCACCCGCTCAAAAGTTCACAGCAGCCAAATATCCGATAATAAAATCATCACAGGGGGTGCAGCAGGTTGCACATGTTGAACGTGTTAAATAAATATTACCTGACTTCCATATGTCCAGGTGTGCGTGCAGCGTGTCTCCACACTGCGGGGAACGCTGGTGAAACTCCTCCTCGCTCATGGCGCACAGATCCTTTCCCGTCAGCTCCTGGAAGGCCTTTCCCGCATGGGGCAATCTGTAGAGATGTTCAGTCCAGAGCAGCCACTTCTGGACATTCCCAGTGTTCCACTCTATCGGATCTGCAGGCGGAAATAGATATGAAATCAGTGAGAAAACTTCCAGCTGCCAATGCAATAAATGACCTTATCTTGGACCATTTCTTTAGTGACACTAATGTCATATGGATCAAGATAAGTCATTTATATATCAATATTGTTTTCACCTTTACCCTGTCTGTATTTTGTTTGCCTTTGACTCATAATAAATCTGCTGAAACCACAAGATAATCAAGCTTTTATGCCACAACAGTTTTAATCAGTAGAACAGACGATTGGGGATTGCATAGGTTTATAACAGCTAGAAGCCATACAATACATGAAAAACGCTTCCTCTGTTTGCTTTATGAGCAGGAGAGGCCTCGCCCTTAAGACTGTGTACACGTCTACTGGCAGGCAAGAACCATCACTATTACAATCCAGGAGTACCTTTGCAAAGGTCAGGATTAAACAGATCCTGGAGTAGGCAAACACAGCTTTGCGTCAGTAAGGATATGATTTAGGAGTTCTGTCATCTTGTGTCCACACAAATATGTGTTGATTTTGCGAGTAAGATCCAGTAGCTTAAGTATCTGAATCAATACTTCTATATTTGCAAATACAGAGAAACACTTCAGCATTTTGGGGAAGATGAAATATGTTTTGTTTAAGGTCAGTTTCTTTGTCAGTTATACGCTGTAATACACTCGCCACAGCTGCAGGTGTGCTGGAAAGCAGCCTACCTGGGGTGATGTTGAGCAGTTTGCAGGCTGTTTCAATGTCCTTCAGTACTTCTCCCACAACCATGCTCTGCACCTGCTCCAGGGATCGCTCCTCCTCCTGCCCCTCCAGGCCAGGAGAGATCCCCTGTTCCTGGCTATCAATGACCGGGCACTGCTCCGGTTCCTCCCGGGGTTCTACGCGGTTCATGGGTAAAGCCAGTGCTGAAGAGGCCTCTGAAACTTTCACCAGCCAAGTAGCATCTTCTGTGAGGAGCATGTCAAAGCAGGAGAGGTAGACGCCTGGCATGCCCCGCTCCAGGGCTTCCACATTTGGTTTGGTTTCCCCCATCTCCCAGGGGTCTTCGCAGCCTCTGCTTTGCTCCAGGATGGAGAGGGAGTCCTCTGTCATCCCAATCCGAGACCCATACGATGTGGTTTCTGGTACGCTGCCCACTGGGTTTGACATAACTGGTCCTGAGAGAGAGAGAGAAAAAGAAACACAAAAAGCCACATTAAACTTCTATCCTGTGAACTGCAAATGAAGTGAGACGTGATTTAAAAGTTTGTAACTATTCGGCGCAGCATAAAATCTGAAAGATCTCTCTGTCACATAAGCCCATGGTAACAGGTGTGCATGCCACTTAAATCTGCAGCAGACATTAATTCATTTTAAGTAATTTAATCAAAAAAATATGCAAAAAAAAATCACGATTTAAGTCATGGTTACCTTTTCAAACAGTTCCTCTCCTTTGTTTCTCAAGATACTAAAATGACAGCTGCTTTAGTTTTGCAATGATCTCCATCAGAGTTGTGCATGAATGTGCAGAGAACCGAGGTTAGACTGTGCTGGTGTAGGCTCTATAAGAAGCTCTATAAGTCTAATGGAGATACTGACCCTCAAAACAGTTAAAACACACACAGCGCTGACAGGCGTGGGGCAAAATGGATCTGACTGAGTCTTATTTGAGGGTCACTGGCCCAGAATGATTCGTTTCATGGGGGTAGGTGACTTGTATTGAGACCCGAAACAGCTCTGCTGTCTGCCCGGGCTTTCAAGGTGCCGTCTCTGCAGCCCTCTGTCTCCACTGTCAGCTGGAGATTTTAATCAAATCGAAGTTAGATAATGTGGAGAGAAGAGCGTGCATAAAATCTGCCCAGCCAAAATGTCTGTTTTATGAAGAGCAGGCTTTATGAAAACAGCCCTTTAATAGGAGGTGGCCTTTAAAAGTGTACACCTATGAAGGTTTGTAAGCTGTAGCACAAGTGTAATCTTGATTATGACACCCATAATGCTTACCTGCCACAGCTGGTAAATGGGAGGACATAGCAGCAGGTTATCAGCAGCTGTGGCTGATGCCACAGTAAAGGAAGTAAACTCCCACAGAGTACATGTTCAGGGAGAGTCACCATGTAAATTGTCAAAGTGCAAACAATTAAAGTCTCGTAAAATTTGCAAAAGTGATATATGGCATCCACCGAGTCAAAACCAACAATAAGGGTAACTTTGAAATAAACCACAAAGACATGAGAGCTCTCGAAAGAAAAAGAATCCATTAGTTTGCAAAGCTTTAACAAACGTGAATTTTTCAGCCGTGCTGCACTGACCATGGTCTTATCTGTTTTGTTGTTTATGCTGTTTGTACCTTTGATTTTTTTCCTGCTCTTGTTCTTGTTAAAATGCTTTTACTTGGCATTATCAGTTCTCTTATTTTAAATAGATTTTTGTTGTTCCGTGTAAGGTTTTCCCAGTTTAACCTGTCGTCATTTTATCACCACACACACACAATACGAGCTCAGAAACTATTCTCTCCTTCCATTATCAAAATAAACCAACTCAGTGGAGAATTATTGTCTGTTATGTGGGATTTCAGATTACACACTACCTGAAGCTGCTGTATGAACAGGTCTCCTATTGAGGTCAGGCGCATCAGCCTGCAATAGGAAAACCTGGATTGCGTGGCTATATTCACCTAAAAAGAAATGTAAAATCTGAACAAGCTAAAACTGTATTTCCACTATTGCCAAACACAACTAAATGAAATTTCAACTGCAAAAAGAAAACAAAACCCCCTTCTAGCTCTTGGACCTCAGCATGCCATTGATAAATAGCCTCCACAGTCTTCCTTTTATCTCTAAACTTCTCGTAAATATCACCCACAATGCCTTTTACTCCATCAGTCTGTCAGATTAAAAGCCACTGGTATCCAAGCCTGCTGCTGTGTGTCAACTCTGCTCTGTAACAGCTTGCGCTAAGCCCATTAGCAAAGCAAATTTAGCCATATTACCTTCTTCCAAAAGGAAGCGGGGACACCAGAGAAAGACACAAACACCCACCCCTGCAGAGAGGGATTAAGGCCCTGACTGATCTCTAAATGAGTTTGGTCAAGACGCTGATATTCATTTCAGGAGCATTAGTTTGCTCCATTTACTCAGCAAAGTCAGCCTTGGAATCAGAAGGAATGGGACTCCATCCATGCTGGCGCCCTCCCTGGGAACCATATTTTTTCCACCTGCTTGGTCTTATTTAACATAAATACGATGATTATGTGAGGTGAAGTTTGTATCACTGTCTTAAGTTTTGTATGGTTATAGCTGCGCAAAGAGATTTTTGTTTTTTTTTATCCAAATTGCCCTATTTTTATGTGGAAAAATTCTTTTCCTAAAATGAAAGTGGTGAAATTTCCAAACCAGTGGAGCCAATCTAGCTAAATATTAACCTGCGAGCCAATTCAGCATTGTTGAACAGTTTTGTGAAAGAAGACAGGTAAGTGTTTAATTTATAGTTAATGAGTAGTGATTAAAACAACTCTAAATGTCCGGTCTTGTTTAACTTGGATGAATCCATTCAAGCACCAAAAAAAGAGAAAAGGTCAGCGATTAGATCTGATGCCATCTATCAAGGCATAATCAAAACACACTGAGTGTTATGCTGGTAGCGTTTCAGTCTGGTATTAAAGAAGCGTATACAGCCAAGAGTGACTGTTTGCCATGTGACACCCCCCCCCCCCCTTTTTTTTTTTTTTCCCTGTTCCTCATGGGAAATTTGGTCCTGCTCATGAAGTCATTGTTCAGAGAAAAACGGAAGGAATTTCATCTTCTTCTTACTTAATATGACTGTTGCTCTGAAAGAAACGCCTGCTGGTTGGAAGAGGAGATTTAGATCTGCAGATTGCTCCCTTAGGGGATTTTTTATTGCAGCAGTGACATGTGCAGGTGCTCTGTTCACGTTATAAATTAGCTTCAGTTTATGTGCTTATTTTATGAAATGCAATAAAGGTTTATTTCGCGTGCTTGTACTTACATTGCCTTATAATACTGATCCCATTAAACTCTGTTTTTAACAAATTTTTCCAACCACCAACACTGCGAGGGGATGTATGGTGATTCATATCTGCTGTTAGTCAGGTGTGCAGGCATTAAGCCAATATCAAAGGAAAATGGCTTTGATGTTGGTCTAAATTAATCTTGACAAAGAGTCTACTTAGAGCTAATTATGCTGGTAATAAACCTCATTTAATTGGGGTTGGACCTAAAGATTGGAAAACTTGAAAATGGGATAAAAAAATAAACCTGTCACTGTTCTAGCAAAGACAGATATAAGGGCAGCCGTTACGTGGCCTCGGGCGTTTTCTTGAGCGCTGGGTTTAAATTGTAAATCATCACAAGATTAAAGAAAAAAAAAAAACCCAAACAAGCAAAAAAAACAACAGTTTTTTAAATTTTAAACACAAGGATGACCCTTTTCATCAGCTGCCTTACAAAGTGTGATGATATATGTTATTTGAGACACAATTCACAACTCATAACTTTATCAGATCATAGCACACACTGGCAAACAGGCACTCTGGTTAACCTTTAAATGCTAGAAATAAAAATTAAAAACAAAACAAACAAAGAAAAAAATACAGAATCTATTGGACAATTTCGCACTTGACCCAACATAACTGAAATCCTGCAAGTCTGAGGGAAATGGGCTGTGAAGCCACTGAAGAGAAAAACATGTAAGAAGGAACAAGGAACAAATCTCTATGTATAACAGGGCATATGTAGAGGATTTGGTTGAACCATCAACTTGTTTTTTCTAGATGCAACTAGATGCAACTAGTTCATATTTGCATATGACCAGTTCATGGAAACATGAATCTTTTACTTTTTGTTTATTTAATGTAATTTTTAAACTTGTGTGGGTTTGAAACTTATTGCAAATCTGAAATAGCTGTCAGCAAACTGTCAGCGTGCTTCTTTAGAAGAGAATCCCGGATCATTTTCAGTCTCCCGAGCGATCAGAGGCAGCAGATTGTTCATGAGAAGTCAAGTCTCACCCTCCTCAATGGAAGTGAAAAAGGAGCTAGGGTTTGTTCACTCTTTACACAATCATCACTGTTACCTTTCACGTGTACTGATTGCAAAGCTATGAAATTGTGTGCCATTATTTCTGTGTTTATATGATATGATATCTGTTTCAAAGCTTTAAAAACACTTTTGACTTCAGACCTGGTCCGACAACCAGGAAAGAACTACTATTTGATTGTGTAAAAACCTGCCCCAGTATTTCACACCAAACCTCCTGAATCAAGTAACCAAGTATTGCATGAAATTATCAGGAGATGTGGTTTATATATTTTGATAAAGGGAGAATAGCAAATTTTGGGGGGGAATAGAAAGGTCTTTTCTGTTTTTCTTACCCCACTGTTTGTACAATGTTATTACGTGTGATTATCTGTGCTATCTTGTTATCTGTGCCATGAATTAAAAAGAGATGTTAAGATTTATATAGATTCTACATTTAAACTGTGGCTTTAAACAGAGACAAAAATAATTTCATACACTTCTATACTAACAAGGTCACAAGGCCTCTGAGAAATAATCGATTAGCTTGGCATGAAAAGGAATATAAATGCACCTGTACCCTTGGAAGAAACAGAGCAGACAATCCTTCTGTTATTCCTCTTTGGAATTTCTCTTCTTTCTGTCTCAGGTAGTTGCAGTTGTATTTGATTTCCACCTTTGAGTAAAACCACAGTGAAATCCCCCGTCTCATCCCGCAGTGACAGCAGAAAGAAATCTGTTGGGTTTTTTGTGTTTGTTTCAAAGTCAGTCTATTGCTGTGGTTTATGGCATCTAACTGACAACAGCATTTTATCTGACCACATTTTGCATATTTCCTTTCTGAATGGAAACTTTCAGATTTGCATGAGATTTATGAAAGAAGAAGAACAGGTCTCAGTCTCTTTTTTCCTTTTATATTTGACTGGGTATTTATTTATTTGCTTAATCTAACCTGCAGTTGGTTCAGGAATGTTTGAATGTTTCTTTTTAATATTTTTACTCTTAACTTTCATATTATGAACAGGGAATGTATTTAATAATTAAACCTTTCCCTTTAATAACTGTTGCTTTTTAACAGAGTCAAAATCTCTGGACTTCACTAATTAGGTTACACGACCTGTTCAAGACTACTAAGAAAACTATAGACACACACACATATATATCTCAGATATACAGCTTATGTCCTATAAATAATGGGCCTATAATAAGATTGTGCTACAGAAACATCCAAGACCCTGTTTAACAGAGAGCAACGTCTTACCCCAGCAATGATGCTCTGATGTTCTTGAGTCAATGACTTGACTGGATGCTGGCAGATGCAGTGTTGTTTCCAGCCAGTGGCCGGTTGCTGCCTGAAGGTGAGGCGCAACAGGCAGCGGGCAACCTTCAGTCGGCTTCTTGCTGGTGACTGTCACTGAGCCCCAAACCCAGGTCTCCTCAAATCTTCTCAGGCTTTTTTGTTTGTTTGTTTGGTTGGTTTTTGGTTTTGGCAGAATTATACTTAACCTGAAAGTCACAGACTAAAACACAACTGCACACTTAGTTCAAGTGGAAGCACCTGCTACGGGTGTGTTCAAAGTGAAGCCAAGAGGACTAGTGGCTGGGTGAGTGAGTGCAAAGGAATTCCACCTCCATTGACTGCAATTTATATTTATAAGGCAGCCATGTTTACTTATGCAGACAACTCTCTCTCTCTCTCTCTCTCGCTCTCCCTCTCTCTCTCTCTGTGTGTGTGTGTGTGTGTGTGTGTGTGTGTGTGTGTGTGTGTGTGTGTGTCTTTGCTGATTAGCTCAGACCTCCTCAAACACTGCAAGCCAACCTTAGTGTTTAGGTGAGAGAGAATTCAAAGCGATCAGATTAAATAAATAAAAATTGCTGTTTAAAGTAAGTGATTATGTAGCCAAATACAAAATTTTAGTTAGGAATACTTTTCTTATCACGTTTCCATGTGTTGCTGGTTTTTGTTTGTACTCCTACTTTTTACTTCACTACCATTTGAAGACTATAATTACAAACGTACCATTTTTATGCCGTTTATGTTAAAAATAGGAAACATATTATTATTGATCTCTGAGCTGTGAGTAGTAACTTCTCACATAGTGCTAAAAAAAAGTGGATGTAACAGATCAAATTTATCCCTCAAACTCACAGAGTTTAAATGATAAATGTAGCTTCAAAACATGTCCATTTGTAGTGAAGTCTATAAATATAAACAGTCATTGGCTTCTGTTACCCATGACTTTAATGAGCACTTTCCTGAATGCAAGCTCAAAGGCTGACTGAAAACAACATGCTGTTCATTTTGTACATTGTAGTCCTGATTGTCATCACAAGGAAGTTAGAGTTGGAGGTAAGTGATAAGTTGCCAACATAAGTGCACCATGCAGATTCACGCCTCACTTGTGACATCTAGTTTTAAACAGCAATGACAATGAGAGGAAAAATACTGGGCTCTAGGTTTCAAAACCAGACTTTGCAGAACATGGTAGCTATGCCGATCTTTGATATAAAGTATATTAGCAAACCCCTGTCCCCAGTATGGATGATAATAAACAGCTGCTTCTTCTCAAAAATCTAATAATGCCATACTTAATGACTCATTGTTTTCTACAGCACTGCTGTTATTGGTTATGCTGTAAGAACATTTTTAATCTAATATGTTAGTCACCACGAATTAAGTGAGATTTTAAATGTGTGTCACTTTAACGTAAACCACTAATCTGCGTATTTCCATCACTGTCTACTCAAGAACATGGAAGGAGATGCTGTTTAAACAAAAACATTAATTACTAAACACTTAAGATAATAATGTTTGTATATACCATTAAAGTCACAGTTTGATGTTAACATGTTAGCGTTCCGGTGTGCTCACATACAAAGCTGGTGTAATATTTCATTTTGCTTCTAAAAGGATTTCCGTGTAAGAACCCCAAGAGAAACCATAGACTCTTTTCTGTGTTAAGAATATTTGCACAGGCATCCACTGAAGTAATATGATGCTTCAGCAGAATGAAATTTAATATTACCTACAGTTAGTGTTTGCTTGTGTTTCTCCACTGAGCTGCAAAAAGGGAGATATTGAATAGTAAAATAATTCTGGCTTACGCATTTGTCTAACTCAGACTGCTCTTCACTACATGTCTGGTTTTTCCATTTGAATAACTATTTGCAAAAAATTACTGATGCTTTCCTCCCAAAACCTACTTTCTTTGAGACAGGGTCTTCTTGTGGCTTGTTTAAAAGGAATGAATAATTAAAGTGGTTTTAGCTGTCATATGGGAGGGTTGCACCTAAAAAATACGAACCTGTTGAGAATTAGCTGAATAACCTCTCAAAAGCAGATTTACTTTGTATTATTATTACTGCCCCCATAAGCAGCAATTTAAAGATTCTGCACATTAACACCATTGTTGCGTGGACATGACATCACTCTTACTCACCCGAGTTTATTTGCAAGTCATTCTTCTTCTTTAATGCCATGTTGTAATTTATAATCCAGTTAAACTTTGTTTTTCTTAACAATTTACTTATTATTCCTTTGTGATAATGTGCTTAGTTTCAACAGTGGTTTCTCAGCTTAGATATCATGATATCACCCAAATAATTCATAACACCTGTGTGGGTGTGCTGGGCTTTCACAATATAACCGACAGAGCTGGAGGTCATTTTTTAACTGCTGAACACTGTTTATCATTACCATCACGTTTTTTCCCCTTATTATTATATTATTAAATGGCAATCACCAAAGTACAGTCACTTGAAAAAGAAGGTACACCTGTTTTATTTCTTACATTAGGTAAAACCTTAGAGGAACTACGACATATGACATACTAAACTGTCTTATTTAACAAAGACTAAGCTAAAATACAAAAGCAGTTAGTAAAAGCCTCAGTAAAGCCTTACTGCTTCCATTAGAATTAAGAGGGTAAGTAGCAGCCAGTTGCTGATAATCACATTCACATGATTAACTAACGATCAGCAAGTGTGAGCACCTCCATAAAAGCAGAAATGTTGGCAGTTTGCTGGTGTGGGACATTCAGATGTCTGTTAACACAGTGCTGAGGGGGAAAGGTTTTAGCAGTGAGCATAAACAAACATCTGTTACTTCCCATCAATCCAAGAAGGTAATTTCCAAACAATTTGACCTCCGTCATTCTGCACTGAGAGAGATTATTCGCAAGTGGAAAAGAATCAAATCACATGACTCTCTTCCCAGGTTTGGACGTAAAAGCAAATTTAACTCAAGATCAGATCATGCAACAATCAGAGAAACTGCAAAAAGCCCAAGAGCTATATCTCAGAATCTGCAGGACTCACTTGCTAAATGTTAAAGACAGTAAAATCAGAAAAAGACTGAACAAGTATGAGTTGTTTGGAGAGGCTGTCAGAAGAAAGCGTTTTCTCTCTCTAAAGAACATGACAGCACAGCTTTGGTGTGCATAGTTGCATCAGAATAAACTACAAGGTTTCTGTAAAATGTCCTTTGGGTAGAAATAACCAAAATGCAGATGAAAATGCACCACAAAGAGCTCATACCAAGTAGGGATGGTAATTAATAAGAATTTAGCAATTTCAATTCTATTATCAATATCACTTATCGATTCTCATTGGGTTTGCATTGCCTCCACTTTGAAAGCCACCACCATCGCTAAGGAGCATGTCAGACATTACATTCATGCAAATTAACTGCATGTACAAAGTAATGCATTGCACATACTACACAGAACAGTTTTCTTAAAAGTACTGGAGTAATTAATTACTCCCAGGAGAAAGTAACTACTCTTTACATTAATTGACAATGTATTGTCTCATTATTACCATTAAACAATATAAACATATAAGCTACAATCCCACTGGTCAACACAAATTCCTATCCTAATGAGGTACACATATGATCTTTCTCTTAGTATTTAGGGATGAAGCCGACAGCACAAAGCAAAGATGGAAACCAGCACAAAGAGGCTTCTAGGCGCTCACCACAGTGATTCTGCTTTAGAAACATGAACAGGTAGAAAAAGCGGCTGCAGCCTGACTGCTTATCAATTTGTTACCTGTTGAGGTTCAGGGTCTGGCTGCTGGGCAGGGGTCGGCATTCACTCAGGTTTGGCATTACTTTGGCTTCTTGGATGGCTTAACATTAGCATGCTGTCTGTGCAGGTGCTTGCAAAGAGCTGAAGTTGTGTTAGCAACATAAAGTGATTGTTTCTGTCCTGGATGCAGTTTGCACTTAACCACCCCACTCTCTTCCTTTTGTGCAATAAAAATAAAAGTAATAAAAGTGTCCATATCCACTCTGCAGACTGCCACAAGAACTGAAATCAGCTGTGCGCAGGTGCAAGTGGAACCGATAAGCGGGATCAATGACAGACTAACAATTCCAAGTAATTGAACTACTGCTGGCCCAGAGTAGTGCAGGCCTTAAAATTCACTAAGTAGCTACATATGGAGCAATCATATTTTTGTATTTTATGACAGTCCCAGATGTAAATCATGACCCAGGGAACTCCATAAACACTATATTTAAGTTCAAACTGAGATCTTTTTTTTTTCATGAACACAAATCAGTGCATTAAATTATCCATTTCACAATTTGAAGTGACACTACATTGCATTCACTACATACTGCTGAATAGCAACATCAACAACTTCTCTGAACAAATAAATAACCTGGTGAAGTTAGTCCACTTTTGTTTCCTACTGCACAGACAAGATAAACAAATAAAAAATAAATAAAATGTTTTCATATGGATGACTGCATGGACTCTGTTTTTATAGTTCATGCATAGAAAAAACACAAGGTGAAACAATCCCCCAAATAATTCCTATTTTGATTACTTGACAGCTATGTGTTAAGTGTTAACATTGCACAGGTTTTATTAAGCTTTTACATAATACTTTGCACTAATATGAGTATTTTATGATTTCTTATGCAAATCCTGGCTTGAAAATAATATTAGCACACTTGTTGTACCTTGACCCGAAAAGGCTCCCAAAATATTGTCAGAGAAATATGAAATATAGACATTTCACACAGAAAAGGGTTTGCAGCAACATAGACAACAAAGTGATATTATGAACATCGATAACAATTGCAGAAAACAAACATATATTCCCAAACTGTACTTACCTGAAGCACCATATCGCTGCTTTTAAACATGCACTTAATTTATTTAGAATCTGTGAATCTCAACCAAAATTCAGAAAACTCTTTGTGTAATTGTGTTTGCTTTAACTGCAAAGTGACTGTAATTAAAAATAAAACCTCTTTCTGCTGGAGGAGTGTTTTGTGTAATTTTAGCCTGTTTGAACAATGTGGATCTGTCAAAACCATAGAAACAGGTGTTTGTGAAAGGGCATTCAATGAAAGCTTGTTATTAGCAGAACAGTGGTAACCCACAACAATAAAAGTACTACTTTATATCTAATCTTTCCCAACTAATCTTGCTTTTAATTTATCGTCGCTAAATGGCCCGTCCTCTGATAGCACCCAGGAAATT